TGACGACGAGGACGAGGCGTGTCCTGGAGAGGGCGGCGGCCAGGAGGTGTGGGGCGCTATAGTAGTTAGGATCCGAACACTCTATACAAATACCTCAACTATTTATACCCAAAAGACCCGTGCAAACTTTCCTCAGGTTCCTCTCTTGAATAGGTCGCGGCTGATCTTCGCGCCCTTCTAATGATCCTCCTCGACCTACAAGGCACGCCTCTTGCGTCCCCATGTGGGTCCATCCGACGTGCCCTCCCCTCGCGAAGACATCGCCCTCGATGTCGGCTTCTCTATTTTTGGCAGCCTCGCTCTTTCTACATGATACCTTACTGCCTCGTACACCTGCTTCGGTAGAGATGTTCCAACATGGTTGCTGCAAAATTGAGCACTTCCTTCTGGCGCCCCTGCCTCTATGAACATGTTTCCATCGAAAATCTCGCTACTTGCCGTGCAGAAGGCTTGTTTTTCGTCGAGTTTTCTTGAGGCTTCATCTAAATGCTTCCACATGTCCATCATGCTGAACAACTTGTTGTGGTTCTTGAACCTCCGCTCTCCATGAACTCTCTGATCACTCTGATCAACTCGTCCAAAGTAGTTTTCTTTAAGCTCGAATCCTGAGGCCACACTATTACCCACGTCCTCGAGGATTTCCAGCCTTCTAGTATCCTCACCAAGTGGTCGAAACCTTGCACCACCTTTGTGGCTATTCCTCCTCGAACTCCATCTCTCCTCATTGGGCTTGCCCCCTCAAAGCTGACGTAAAGGACTGGTCCCTTTTTCGGCTGCTCCTCTTTCACAGACCGCTCCTCAATGTCCTCTCTGAGTTTCCTGAGCGCCTCCGAGTACACATGCCGATCATCCTGGTTCTCGATGATGGAGTGGTCTGCAATCTCCTTCGTATTGCATATGAAGTCCGTCCACTCGATGCATCTTGCATAGGCGAACTTCAGAACGATCTGCAGCGAGCTCACGTCCCCGCACACGTGTCCTTCTCGGTGGAGTCTGATCTTCTTACCGACGTCGATGCCGCGCCTCCTAAAGATGCTGCAGGTCAGCCATGCGTTCCACAGGCTTCCAACATCCTCCTTTGCTACTGCGCCGGGAAACGAGACTCCTTCGATGTCTCCCAAAGTAGCTCCTTCCAGGCATCCGTCGGCACACATGTAGAGCAAATGCCCCTTCTCCGGGGGGCTCAACAGTGATGCTCCACTGAAGGTTCAGTAGTTAGTTTGCAACTTCTTACTTGTTTTACAGCATTTTTTCTACCCCTTTTTCCTCTAGAGGCTTGTGTGTCTATTCTCTCGTCAGAAATGCAGTTTTTGCGCATCAACTTTCCAGTTGCCTGAGCGTCGTCACGTTTATTGGTTTATTCACGTTTTCACGCCACCACAACGCACTTTACGAATGATATGTGACACGAAATTCGCATTTACAGCAGTTTTACCGAGCTTCTCCTTTCTAAGGCTCTGTACCTTAACCGGTTTTCTTGGACAATCTCTGTCGAAGTGTCCTTGTCTCGCACAATTGAAACACTTCTTACCAGCTTCTTCCTCCTTTCCTCTTCCTTGCCCCTCTACACTGGGTAATGATGGCCGACTTTCTTGCCATCGCTTTTCAACTCCCGAGGTATTGTCTCTTGCGCTGTTCTGCGGTACATCTTCAGTTCTATATGCATAGGTACTATGCCTAGATTTCCACAGTAAGGGCAAGGAACCTTTCCTACCGAACATTGCCTTTGACTGTTCTATTCCCAGAGCTAATTGCTTAATTTCATCATATGCCCTGTCCGGACTAGCTCGGTCCAGGGCACTCATTAGATGCACGTACTCGGGCCATTCATGTAGGTTTTCTGAAAGAATCTGAGCGTTCTCAAGGGATCTAGCTTCCTCCGTACTGTCTGGGTTCGCT